ACACATTCCACACCATCAATTATTCTGTAAATACTCCGTTGAGACTGAGATTTGGCAAATAAAGGCCCAGATTTGGCCATAGGAGCTGGAACTGCTGTCATCCCGTTCTGTGCCTTACACACCAGACTCACCACTGCAGTTTCTAAGTACCTTCCACTTGTGCACTGAGTGCTGCCAGTGCCATGTTGGTTGTCTCAACCTTTCTGAAGTAAGAACCAACTGCAGTAGAGTGTTTTGTATTGGACCCTTTCTGTAACTCACACTGTCTCATATAAATACACACACCCCTCTGTATTCTGTTGTATTTTTGTTAAGGAAAGCAAGTTCAAGGAAATGGCAATGCATTTCTGAATATAAGGAGCTGAGAGTGTCCTTCTATGAGAATTTACTCAGCAGGTTCCTTGGGGAACAATCAAGGACTGTCCCGTGTACATCAGAACTGTAGCATGTATGATTGCTGAGTGTGTGCTGTAAAAGAATCATTGATTTTTGTGAATTAAAAAAAGAATACAGAGAGAGTAGAGGAAAGCAAGAACAAAGTGTAGGGCATTTGGGAGTGATGGGGCGGGGGGGGTCAAACTGATTTCTTTGAACTGATTTGCTGTGAATGTTCCAACTGAGACTCAGAGATTTCATAATTTTTCCAGTTCTCAACGATCTTCCTTAACTTTACTAAAATACACCTCTGTGATCCACCCAGCTACTGGTCCAGTCTTCGAATATTGGTACTTGAAATTGCACTTTAGGTTTAGAAGAGGTTTTTCCTTTCAGGAGGATTATAGAAAGATATCCAGGTGTCAAGTGACTTGAGCTTACTGCTCTGAAAATATAATGTGGAAGTGTTTAAGGCCAGGCTGGATGAGGCTTTGAGCAACCTGGTCTAGTGGAAGGTGTCCCTGCTGATGGCAGGGCGGGTGGGACTACATGATCTTTAAGGTCCCTTCCAACCCAAACCATTCTATGATTCTATGTCCCATTGTTCTAATTAACATTATGTTTTCTTGACTAGTCTGAACACAAGGCACACAGGTACTGGGAATAAAAATTAGGGTTACAGAAAAAGAGAGAGAAGGTAAAGAATTTGGTATACTGACAAGAACTGAATGGACAAAAGAAAGCTCCTACCTGAGGGAGAGATTGCTCTGCTTGCTATATGTGGGCTGCAAAGATTTTATAGAAAGGAAACAAAGAAAGATGTGAGGAGCAGGAGGGCGCCCACTTTTTTGACCAAGAAAAAATATTTCTATGAAATACTGGCTTCTAGCTTGACAGGAGTGAGACACAGTTAGATCTGTGAATGCATTGCTACAAAAGCATCAAAACTGCATTGGGATAATGGCAAGGTTTGAGGAGCTATGCATTTATCTACTGATCTGAACCAACATGGACTTGCTATTTTTTTTTTTTACTGCTTTCAGTTAGAGAATCACAACAACAGAGAAGGCTACATGGACCTGCTCTATACAATTTTAAGATGAAAAAATTGTTAGCCTGTGACACCTAATAGGGAAGAAGCTCAGTGAGAGAAAAATTAGAGTGAGATAGTAAGGTATCCACTTGTTTGTCACTTACATCATGGCTAGAAGATATTGCAGCATCCAGGCAAGATCAATAGCAGTCTGGTGGAGCTGTGTGTTGTGATTGGTTTAGCTGGCTCTTTAAGGTCAAAATCTATTTTGTCATCCTTCCTCGTTGTCTGGCTCTTTAAGCGGCTCAAAAAAAACATTTATACCTTGTGTTGCCATGACTTCTGAAAAAAATAAGAAAGCACCCCAAAACCTTTCAATTAGAGAAGTGAGAAGCTCTACAGGACAGGTAGTAGCAACAGTTCCTACAGGAACAAGCTCACATTATAGCAGCACTTCCCAGCTTTAAGTACAAAAAAGCTTCGGGAAGAGAAAATAAAAGCATCATAAACTAAGAAAGTTTGATTTCCTGGGGATTTAGCATCATTATTGATTGCAAGCTATGACTGAAGCTTTTCCCTTTGTAGGGCAGTTATAGGTACTGTTTCACATGTAGATCCTCTGCTGTGTAATGCAAGCATCTCGCTTTTTGACTTCTCCACTGTGGGAAACCTAAAGACGATTTCTGTCCTCTACTACCTACCAGTTGTTGAACTGGATTTGACAAGCCATGAGGATAAGTAAGGATTAGCAGATACATACATTTCCAAGGACATAAAGAAACACATGTAATATGATCACTTTATCAGACTAAAAAATTTTTTTTTCAACTTTCAAAATAATTTATGATTATCTTTTGAGGTGAGGGAGGATGATAACACTGCTTATTTTATTCAAAACTTTTTATATATCATATAGTGTACTTACACATCATAAAACTATATTCAGAATAAAACCGCTTGTTGCCAGTGATTTAAGTTGTCAAATAAAAAAACTATGCTGCTATCTAGCTGAAGAAATATTTTAGCATGCAGAAAGCAATGCTGCTTTCTCTGGGAGGTTTTAATCAAGCCTCTTGTGCTGATTGAGATGTAGTGCTCAAAAGTGAGAAAAATTAACAAAATCAAGAATCTAGAGCGTTTTTCATGCAAACATTCGTCAGTATATCTTACGTAATTACATAGCCAATAAATCAACATAGAGTGTAAATGCTTCAGTCACGGTGCAGATATCTTAATGACTGAAACATCTTCACACATGAATAATTTATACCTGTATGATTAATTTTTCATATCCATACTTTACTTCAATATGATAAACTAATCCTTCTCTGTCAGGAAATGTGTGCTTGATTATTGCCTTCTGATTTCTTTTCCTTGTGTTTATTTTCTACAGTTAGACACACTCCATTTCTTCTCTTCTGGTTCCTCTGCTTTAGTTACCTTATTTATTCATCCTGTCTGCTTTGGTTTGCCTTCCCAGTGCATTTCAGCAGGCACCTGGGAAATAACGCTAGGGCATAAGCTGATCACGTGTTTCTCAAGTAACTCCGGAGCAGCATCTTGAAAAATTTACTCATTCTCAACAGATAATTGCATTTAGTGTGCTCTGCTCTCTTCAAGGCAGTCACTACAGAAAGAACTTGCAATTGGCCAATAGCAAGTTGAGCTTTGCCATTTTCTGGATCACCAGGAGTTCAAACCTTTGTCACAGTACTGATGACAAATGTTGTTTGAGTTTTCTTCCTGTATTGTTTGCAAATGCAAACTTGTTTATAGCTCCAGAAACCACTGGAATATTCAAGAAGAAAATAATTATTTCTCAGTGCAGGAATGGGAATCGGGATTTCTTAAATTCTGCTCTGCTGCATGTGCTTATTTGGCTGTATGCGGGTCACTACATGAATCCTGCCTTACTTAAACCATTAACCACGGCACCTAAAACAGGAGTTTGATTGCCATAACCACCTCCTTTAGTTACTAGAGAAAGACAGGTAGCTGCTGAGGGCAGTTTATCCAGCTTTAAAGCTATTTAATGCCTGAAACTCCAGGCAGGAGTGCTACTGAGTGGACTCTCTTCTTTTGGATCACAATTTAATGTTCGGTTCAGATCTGCAGAGCAGCTTATTTTGGTAGCGCCTGTGGAAGTTCAGCTGTTAAAACGTCAGTCCCAGTTGGGCACAAAAATGAATTGCTCAGAATTAGTGAGCACTTCCAAACCCTCAGGTTTCTGACTGGAAAAAAGACAACAAGAATATAAGCTTGTTAGTTTTGTACAATAATACACTGTTTCACAGTCCTTCTGTGTCAGAATTACGTTTTGGACTAATTTCCTAGATTTAAGACTGAATGGAATATCTTATATCTGTCTTCTCCTCCATACTTTGAAGCCCAGCTGCAGTTCTTTTACAGCTTCAATCTCAGGGGCTTCTGAGAGACATCTCAATTGAGCATTTTCCTAGTATTCTTACAGCAGGCTCCAGTGCTCTGTGAAAACAAATCTCTCCTGTTTGATAGCAGGACATTTAATAACTTTGCTCCGGCATAAGTCTTTGCCTATTCATTTTTTTTATTATTCTGATTGTAAGCACCTCCAAAGACTTCTGATATCACATTCTTGTCTCAATCTTTTTGTGTCCTTAAGGGACACCTTCACTTGCTGTGTCCTACTCCACTGAGATCAGTTGTCAATCGATGGGTATCAGTTAGTTGGAATTCTCAGGCAGCCACCAGGATGTACTTCATCCTTATCACTGCCTGCTTTATTTTGGCATTTAGGAGGCAGCCTGCTGTCTTTTTCCTTTGTTCTGTCTAGCACTTGTCTCTCTTTGGTATAGTTCCTCACCACAGCCGTCAGTCGTGACGGTTGCTGTCCCGTATTTTTCTGCTTTCTTTTTTCAGTGTTGGTCATTTACTATCTGTGCCCTGTTGCAAGGCAATACTTTATCCAGTGACAATTTTTGGATATTTCAAGAATCTTCTGAACCTCCTCACATGCAGTTTGCTTTAACTCCTAATATTTCTAGCTCTCATGCCTCCTGCACTTTCTCCATTTTCTTCTAAATTGTCCTTTCTTTTTGTGAGGGACCTCTGGTAGATCATTCCTTCACCTTCTGTGTTTAATTATTATAGCTGTTGTACACAGACATTCCCCTTCTTTTCTGAAAATTAATTTACCATCCTTCTCTAAGCTATTCACCTCAGTTCTTTTTTTTTTCATATTATTTTCTACTTTTTAATTAACTCTGTTTCTTCAGCATACCTATTTTAAATTCCAGGTGATTTTTAGCTTATATATGTAAGAGAGTGATTCACTGATACATCCTAGTTCCCTAACCTCATCTGTCTCTGATTCTGACACACTCAGAAGCTTCCCAACATCCCAGATTCACAAACCTCCTCTCGCTTTTACTAGTTTCAACATTAAGAGCTGATTCATGACACCTAAACTGAGGCTATTCCTGAATTTCTTTATGTGGCATATTGTGTGGTTAGAGAAATTGAATAGCCATTGAGATTTTATGTGGAAAAATATGAAAATGGCAGAAGTGCCACATTGGTATAATACTGATATTTTGTTCTCTAATTTTAACAGATTCAGTAGCAACAGCATCTGGGCCACTGCTAGTTGAAGTTGCCAAAACTCCCGGTGCTGCTCTTGGGGTTGCACTAACTACCTCGATGTGCTGCAACAAGCAGGTCATTGTCATAGACAAAATCAAATCTGCAAGTATTGCAGACAGGTGAGTGTGACAGAGGGCTGACATTGCAGGTCCATGCATCAATTTTATTTCTACTTTGGTTTGGTTTTAAAGAAACCCTTCAAATTTTGATGAATTTGACTGAACTAGATGCTCTCAAGCATCTTCAAATTAGCTTTTTGTCAGATCATTGTTCCATACTGCCGAGTTAAGACTTTCAAGGCACCATTTACTTTAGCTCATTCACATAGTATTCAATGACATAAGCCAGCTCCCAGGTAATATGTGACTGTCTGCTTGTACTATGCAACACAGAAGTTTAGAGGTCTGCTCTGACTATTAAATGTAATGCCACAGCAGAGATTAGTATTTTAAAAAATAAATAATCTACTGGAATTCTTAAAGCAAGCATACAATATGGAACAGCTGTCAAGGGAAGTAAATTTCAAGTCTTTGTAACCTTGAAGTGTTATTTTACAACATATCACTCATTCTTCTGGCACAGTGAAATGGAACTCCTTATGTCTGGATTTTTTTATTGATATTTTAGAATACAACTGAGGTGGTAGGAAGACTGGCTTCTGTGTTTTGGAGTTATTTTGCAGTAATTTTTCCACTTCACTTAAATCATTAAATAAAACCATTTAAACCATTAAAAGAAATGATAGGTATTTTCCCCTGATGATCTAAGCCTCTGTTAACAGAGCTGTGGGAAGACTTCTGGGGTGCGTGTGTGTGTGTGTGTGTGTGTATGTGTTTATACATATACAGTATATTTCTATATACATATCTCTATCTAAAAAATCCTTAAATATTATGTTTCAGCAGCAAATTCCTCCTGCATGTCCCCAGTCACCCTACCTTGTAACTCCTCTTTGACAATGGTGCTTTTGGTAGCACCCACTTGTAGCAGTGAGTCTACAGCTCCTCTTTTCCTACAGTAGAAACTTTGAGAGTGACGGCCATTGATCCAGGGGTGTTCTCCAGTTCAATGGTGCAGGATGCTTTAATTTTCTCCCTCTGTTTTTTCCCATTTCACAGGGGGTAACCAATTAAAGGAGCTGTCCACTTGACTGGTACGTCGGGATGCTGACTGCTGTGTTTGCATTTCTCAACTCATCCAGTAGCCAGTCTCTTGAGTGCAGCGAGATTTAGCAGATAGCCCCCTCCCCACCCCACTCCTCAAGTCACCATGCTAGCCCTGGTTTCATTATTTGTTTGACTACTGCATAATTTCATCGTCATTTACAGCTTTTGTACTAATAAATGTTTGAACTATAACTCAAAAAATGATGAACTGGGTGCTTGTGTGAGGGATATGTGACCAAGTTATTTGAGTCTCCTTGAGCTCTTCTCATTTTATTCTGCTGCCATTCTCACATATTTTTTATAGTCAGCTACCCCATTCCAGTTCTGTGAGTGATGTCTTGGCATATACTGTATTAACTGAATTGTTTTTAAGGTTTGTACTAATAGATATAAAGTCTGACCTGTGACAATGCCTACAAAACACAAATCTGTCTCGAAAAAAAAGAACACGCTCATAGTTGTCATGACCAGTTTGAAGGCAGTAAAACTCATTTTCCAAGCAAAGGACATATCTGATCATACAGAGTTTTTCCCTTTTTATGTAGATGTGGTGCATTACATGTAGGAGACCATATTCTGTCCATTGACGGCACCAGCATGGAGTACTGTACATTGGCAGAAGCAACGCAATTTTTGGCTAATGCAGCGGATAATGTCAAGCTTGAGATCCTGCCTCACCACCAGACACGACTAGCGCTGAAAGGCCCAGAGCACGGTAAGAGGATCTGTAGCACCAAATACCCCTTTTTCTTTTTTCTGTCTTTTACTTTGCCTGCCCTTGCTGAATGGCCAAGAAAGCTATCGTGGCAGTTATTTCTGTAAATGTTTCAGCTCCCCAGGTTATGCTTCTGCAGTTTCTGAGAAGCTCTGTATTTTCTTGGCCTTAATGTGTCCTCTGAGATTCCTATGGATAGAGGGGGAAATGTTTTACTGAGAAATAGCTCTGCAGACTTGTAGATGTACATAAAGACACCCATTGACTTTGCTTTTGTAATCATTGGGGTGCAACTAGGTACTTCATTAAATGAATCTTGAAATTGCCTCTTAAATTTAGAGGGGGAGGAAGGACCACAGCCAGCTTCTTTTCAGGATATTGACTGGATAGTCTGTTATGACCACTTCATTAGTAACATCTGTTCTCTCTGAAAATACCTCAAAACCCCACATATTTTCTCTTGTTAATGACATTATAATTTATTGTCATCATCTTTTAAAGTACTTCTGAGATTGCTTCATAGCTTCATTGTCAGTGCTTATGAAAAAGGTTTTTTTGGAAACAGTTCCCTAGATCCCAGCCCTTTATCACTGTGATATTTATGTCATACCAACATGCTTGAAGAGAATGGGATTTCATTTTCAAATCAAATATATATGAAATGTCCTAGTATTTGAAGATGGGGGCTGCCTGTCTTGTCTTCGAACTAATCCTGAGAAAGTGGCTAATTTACAGCATTCATAAATTCAGTTTCAAATACCACATGTTGATGGACATCAAAGAAGTAAAAGGGATTATCAAATAGATAGAGAATAGGTACCTGTATTGCAGCATGAACCAGTGGTACCATTTTCTGAGCCTGTGGTACTGTGCTTCTGCCTCCTTTAGACCAAGGCAAGATTTCTGAGGCCTAGAAATGTCAGTGATGGTAAATGTTCTTGGACATCTGTCTTAAGATCCATGCTGTCCCTGGATAAGTGATGCTCTAGTCAGTTTGTCAGAGTGGTGAATATTGAACTAGTGGCTGAGGACACACTAGTTTCTCCTAGACCAGGGTGAACAAAAAGTAACCCTTGCGATACCATGTTCTTCCATTATTCATTCAGCTGTACCTCTTTCCCCTTTCTACTTAAGTCAGTTAGAGGGGCAAGGGAGTGGGGAGTGATACTGCAGAAGGAGAATGAGATGGAGACCAAGTTTTGCAATATATTTCCATTCTTTTCAGTTGTGACAGTACATTGCAAATGGATCTTTCCAACTTTTTTGAAGCAAAGATGTCAGACAATCAATTTTTGACTGGTTAAAGAACCTTTCAAGGGTGTTTCTTTTGGGAAGATGAGTACCAAGGCCAAAGATTTGTGTAGATGATTATGTTACTTGAAGCAGTTGGTTTCTTGACCAACATTTAAAACAGATTGATGCTGTTAATGTGCTAGTCACCTTGACCCAGTTTAGATGCTTAGAAAAAGCAGTGCTCTTGCCATGGCAGAGTTAAGAACATATCATATCAAGGGCGTCTGCAGAAACTACATAAGCATCTTTTGGGAGAAGTCTCTCTATGGTAATAAAGTTGCTTTCTTAAGTAAGGTAGAGTGACTAGAATGTTTACAGCCCTTCCTAGCCCCTCCCAGCCTCCCAGTATCATGACCAATTCAAGATGTAACATGCTTTATGGAAGCAAGTGCCCTATGGAAACAACCTTTCATCAGGTGTGGTATGGCCTAGATGCCGCAGAGTTTGAAAAGCTTCCTTTATGTGTCTGGGATAAGCTGAGTCATTAGGGCTGTATCTGGTGAGCTCAGTTATTGGTCTTTTGGGAACACGTTAGGAATTTAAAATAGGCAGGGAACTCAGCATATAAAATAAATTGAAATTTTAGCCCTAAAATAAAATGAAGAGCACTATAAAAGATCAGATTTTTTAAATATTTTTTTCCTTTACACTATGCTGCTAACATTCATGTCTCTTGCTGCCCCATTAGTGTTATGTCTGCTGTACACAACCCTGGGTTGGAATAGTTCAAATTACTGCTAAATTACTACGGTTACACATGATAGGATTTTATTTTACAGAACTTTTGTTGAATCGGGATTATCCTTCTACAAGCTGAGCTGAATCTGTGTACCTTCCCACTTTGTAGGACATTTTTATCTCTACTCTCAGCATGAAAATAAAACTTTTTTTTAAATCAGAGACTAGCAGATAATTTCCTGCTGGAAGAAGTCTTTTTAATTAAACAGGGCTCACAGTAACTTGAAAATAATGAAAATCTAACTGGCCACATTGTTCTTATCAGATTTTAATTTTTATACCATAGTTAAAGTTCGTAAATCTTGCCATCTGTGCATGTGATCAAAGAGACGGTTTCATCTGAGAAGATATGATAAGTCTGTAAGATACATATGGCTGTATCAGGCTGCTTCTGCTGTTTCTGGGACTTTTCTGGCTGACATGACATTTTTCCAAAGTTTCTGAGGTCACTGGCACAGGTGCTGGTGGGTGAGGTACCCCAAGGCGCAGACCAGCTGGTGGCACCAATCTCTCCTTCTGGTGCTGGCACCGCACCCCACCCTTGACTTTATTATCTATTGAAGGGGAAAAAAAAATAATTCTTTTGATTCCAACACGTGTCAGGGCACAGCGTGGGTGCTCTCAGGGAGGGACGCAAACCAGGAGCACTGCAATTAAAGGCACAGGGCCAGGCCTGGCAGTGCCAGGTCCTCCTGAGTCCCAACCACCCCGCAAGGCTGTGGGGACGTGGTGGGCCCCTGTACTCTCCTTTTCTTGTCCCTTCCCTGGTGTGTACTCCTCACTGTAGGGACAGGCATTGCTTTTGTGTCAGAGGAGTGTTAATATATTCAGACAATTAGCAGATCATTACTCATGTAATATAAAGTGAAAGAAAAGGATAGCTTTTCTTCTGGCACTGCACAATGCTTGCCGTGGTAGCAAGCAAGCTTTTCCCCCTTATTTTGTTTCACAGAGTAAGAATTGAACGCAAGGTGTGGGCCCAACCTAAACAGTCAAGATTTTTGGCTACTGTTGAAGTTCAGCATGGGCTCATGTATTTGCAGGCATTATAGATGTAACAGGTAGAAGAGAGACACAGGTGATACAGCTCATGGGCCAAAGACTGTAACTTACATTTTGTAGTACAGGTGAATCCCTCAGTGTTTTAAAGACAAAAATTCAGTGAATAGTTCCCAGTTTGAAGTGTTCCTCTATGGTTCAACAAGGACATGGCTACACTGGAGTTAATGATGAATAGACTGTATTTAATGAAGGGTGACTTCAATCATTTTCCTTTAAGATTTGACACATCAACTGAAATGCTTCCCATTCTCTTGGTAAATACTGACCTTCACTTTTGTCGTACCCCAGAATCCCCATATGTAAATATGGTCTCAAATTTCATCCAGAAAAGGATCATTTTTCAGTTTTTAAGATCAAAGGGGTTTTTTAAAAAAACAACAACAAAATAAAAAAACCCCAAACCATTAAATTGCACATCCAACTAATCAGTAAGAACTCCTTTCCTTGTTAACCAGGCTTCAGGATAGAGTTTTTGTGCTGCTGGCCCAAGGAAGTAATTTACTGCACAAAATAACGTGATACCAACAATAGACGGTGACAAAATTAAAATGTAAACTGAAATAACTGGCAAGTAAACATCGACATTCTAAGCAGTGCTCTGTGTAGTGTCTAGCTGGTCTTTTTAATGCATATGAATGCAAACAGAGACTTACTAACCTTCAGTTAGTGGTAATATGTAGTACTTTAGTATTTTCTAAGGAAGTTTGCAATCTTTGCTCCTAAAGCCAGAGTGAGATTAGAAATTGATTCAGTACCCAATCTTTTTGAAAACAAATACAAGACAACAAAAAAAAAATCAGAAGCATTTATTCTGAGAAAAAAAAATTATTTCTGTTCCTCAAGTTAGCACCCCTGGTAAGAAAACAAGACAGGGTTATTTATTATTCCATTTTATTTTATTTTAAATTTATTTTATTTTTTTTTACTTTTTTTTCTTCTTCGTACAATTCAGTTACTTTTCCTTCTTCTCTGGTCCTTTGTTTTCTGATTTTTCCATCATCCCTTCATGCGGGCAGTGAAGGTTCAAAGAAGCGACAGGCAACTTACCTGGGATTCGGGTGCCAACAACCACAGCAGCCTCCTCACCTACCACCATTATAACACCTACCACCCTGACCATTGCAGGATGCCAGCCTTGAAATTCCAGAAAGCGCCTCCTCAAAAAAGCCTTCGTAATGTTCCACACTTTTTCCTGCTGACATATTCTCTCCTTCTCTTCTTCTTCATCTTCCTCCCTCCTCTCTTCTTTCACTCATACTTCTCCCATTTCAGGCACTAAGACCTTTTCAGTTTTATGGATGCTACACTTTTTCATAGCCATGCCAAGGTTATTTCTGACATTTTACACCTTTTCCTTTCTGTAACAAGGCAACCTCTGTAGATAGGAAAAGGCTTGAAAATTCTAAATTAATCAGCTCTTCTGCTGTATGAGCAGACCATTAGATTTGCGTAGTGTATATAAAACATGATTTTTGAATGCAAAACATTGCTTACAAATCTCATGTCAGAAATTACCGACTACAAAATGGCATTTCTAAAATCAGTGTGTCTAGACACATTGATCTGCAGTGGTTCATGGATATGTGTTGAAAAATTTCATTTAACATGCTTCACCTGAAATAGGTTGTATACTATGAATGTACTTTTTGTATCTACAGTATCTTCGTTAGCTTCCAGCAGGTATTTTCATTAAATGCTGGCTATACTTTTACCTAGGGTCACCTATGTGCTTTAATGTCTTTGTTGTTGGAAATGCACAAACCATTCCTGTGCATCACACACATTATTTTATTCATTGATGAGTTACAGGCGTGTGCCGCACTCTTCCGTCAAGACTGAGTGCTGTATGCCAAGTGTTTGATTTCTTACAGCAGCTTTGGTGTCTTCATCCTTCTCTCCTGCCTCCATGAGTGCATACAGCCTGAGTTCCCTGAACATGGGGACCTTACCTCGCAGCCTCTACTCCACCAGCCCACGTGGGACAATGATGAGGCGGAGGATGAAAAAGAAGGACTTCAAAAGCTCCTGTAGGTGGTAACAGCAATTGCTCAAAATGTGTAGTGAATGGGTGGAGGAGGGGGAAGATACAGAAAAAAGGTACAAAGTGCCTTAATTAATATATATATATATACTAGGCAGAAGAGAGAGTTTGGAGTTTCTGTTAGATGAAGGGAAACATCAGCATAAAAATGTTTGTCCAATACTAAAATGAGATGAGTAGAGGCCAGACAGCACAACTATGTCATCTGAAATATTTAAAACAATGTTTTCTTCAGAAAATCCTGCAAAGGTTTGTCATACCATTAGTGAAGTGATTTTCTAGTTCCTTTTTAAACTCTTCCCGTTTTCATCAGGAAATAAAATTCATAGCTGAATAGTCAAAAAATGCTTAGCTGTCACATTATGGAAGGAGAAGAGCTTGACACAGTACCTCCTAGGTAGTTTTAATGTTTAAATCTACACTGCAATCTGTACAATAATTTTTGTGAGGAAGAGCAACAAATAACAGTGAGGACTAAATAGCCTTGTTTCTGCCCACTCTCTGGAATTCAAAGCAGGCATTTCCCATGAGTCAGTAATTTCCCAAGCCAGGATTGATATACTTCAGTCTGTTCCACTTTACATATTGCAAAGTATTCACTGAGCCGGAGAGAGCATGGCTGTATCAGCATGTTGTTTCCTAGGCTCCATATAAGTGCCATCTCTCCTTTGGTTTGTCTATCTTCCTGCAATCCTCAGCAGCTCAGTTCCTCGAGAGCAGCTCTGAAAATCATCTGCTCCAGCTAATAAAGCTCACAGGTCCACTCTGGAAAAACTGAGCTGTTGTGCATTACAGCACTGCTGCCCCATATTAAAAGGTTTCGCGTGATCATAGCAAAATCAGAGCAAACCAGCAGCCTCCAGCCAAGGCTAGTCACTATGGAGTTGAGAGGGAATGTTTGTTAGAGGAACTGAGGTTTTGGTTTCTTTCAGTTTTTTGTTGCTTACTTGTTCTTATTTCTTTTGTAAAGCAAATATTTTTACATAACGTTTGCCATTAAGTGAATTTTTTATTTTGAATCTGATCAGCACAACTCATCTGTTGACATGTTAGCTTCTAATGCATTCTTTTACATCGTGGGGAGATAGTGTGTATCTTCATGCTATGGTATCAGTAGAAGTCCAGCTCTTACATGTCCTCACTCACACACGAGAAACAGTAGTCATGTTACACTAATACTGATTAATTTGAATGGTAAAATAATGCTGGATGCAAAAAGTAGTTCTTAGGTTGTGCTATATTATAACTGTTCCATACAACAAAGGTCAGCTAATCCTGAAAGCTAATCCTGTTATGGATCTTGGAGACAGCTGTTACATGTGTCACTATATTTTTCAGCTATTTTTCATTCAAGGAAGCCATGCCCTGTAATTTGCTATCCTGCAAAGGCTCAAAACAAGGCCAATGACATGACATTTAAGTGGGACTGTCGCATAAGCACTGCAGCCCACCTGAAAGATTCCTCAAGTTGGAAAGCCCTGGGGAGGACAGGCTACTGTGATTAAGCAAATCCATAGCTAGGAGAAATTAGGATGAGACTTTTTTGTGGGGTAGTTGATTATGCATTTGCATTGCAAGGTCTGGATATAGAGCGTTACAAAATACGTGGAACTGGCCCCATTGTTACGTAAGTCTGTGCCTCACTATGAGCAGTGACTACATCAGCAACCCTGACTCGGAGCTGACTTTGGAGGAATCGACTGGCCAGCCAGGCTTGCTTGCCTTTTCTGTAAGCTTGCTTTTCAGTCCATGCAGAGTTTCTTACTGCTGTTTCTACTCTTATACCCACACTTGTGACTACAGTAATGGCCAATTTAAGAGACCCGCACTGGACTGAATATGCTACAAGTGACCATGATAGAGAATGACTGATCCTGTACCCTTCCACCATCTATCAGCAGGACTTGGAAAACCTTGCTCTTCTGCTTATGTGGGAGACTCATGAGAACCAGATAGCATCGACTGCTGTCCTTTTCACAGAAAAGGAATAGTGTGCGCTCTTAATTTTAGTGATATTTTTTTTTCCTTAATCCAATTGGATCAATTGAGGACTTTACTAATGTAACTTTCAATAAATATTTTAAGATATCATTTGGGAAATAATGTATTGGTGAAGGGTACTGTAAAGTTTACATTGCCAATTGTTTAGGAAAACCTTCATAACTTAATGTGATCATACCAAAATTCATGATGATGAATTGTGATGGTACAGCAGGTTACAAGACTTTTATGGCCATGATTTTGCAATCATTGCATTAGTTACACAGATCTTTCCAAATATGTGGCTGACATGTTGCTTTATTTATGCCACTTGTTTTCCATTTTTATTCTTCTTCTTTTTTTTGCTTTTGAAGTATGATACTCCTTGTGGAAACAGATTATTATTTGGTTAAAGTTTAAATCCTGAAGTATTTTGTAATAATTCTATATTAGTACTTGAAAGTGAGACACAATATTATACCAGTTTACATGATGGTTACTAGGGCTGCATATCAGGTAGAAATTCAAAAGGGTCTTAGACATGCATGGGTGTTGTTTTCTCAACACATCCACGTTAGCTGCTACAAGGAGGAATAGTGAACATTTTGCATTTTCCCAAGGGTCAGAGTGGGAGACTGCAGGCATGATAATCCATATACTTACCTTTAGTGCATATACCTTTAATCCTATAAGGATTACCTTTAAAAAAATACATTTTGCCCTGCTTCTTGCACATCTGCAGGAATAAAGGAAAAAAGTACATAATCTTCAAATTCAAGATTATTGTTTACATACTGCAGAGCATATAGTAAAGCAACCCCCATGACAGTTGCAGAGAGTTGGACACAAAATATACAAGCATGCTAAAATGTACCCAGGAGTAGCAACTAGGGTTCGTTGGAGGAGCCACATACATGTTCATCCCTGCTTTTTAAAGCAACAAGACTACTTCCTGGCCTGTAAAACTTTGAATCCATCAAGTAGCCAAAAAACCCCCATAATAATAATAATAATCACAGTGTTTCTTGCTGCATTTATTCTTGAGTTACAAACCCCAACAAGCTCCAAGTCATATTTTTGGGCATCTGTGGCACTTTATAGAGGCTTAGCAAATAGCTGTTGTTACATGATTTGGAAAGGGTGTTTTCATCTCTACTTTTTGTTCCTGTTTATGTTTTGTTTTCTTTGGGAATGGGCAGAGTTCCTAAGTGTCACTTTTAAGTGTCCGCATCATCAAAATATTTGTCAGGGTAAGTTTTAAATCCCACAAATATTAACTTATTTACTAATGTGAATTGAAACCTTATCTGTCCTAAAAGCTGAAATAAATGTTTTAAGATTTTTAGGGTTTTGGTAGGATATTAGAAAAGGAGTAAGAAAGAGTTAGCTAAAT